TCCGAGCTTCGTGCAGAGCAGGTTCAACCTGAGATCGTTAGGATTTGAATATGGGACTTTCTGTGCTTTAGATATATACGGCTGTCAGGAACTTCATTGCGATATCGTTTGTCTCTGCCGCGGTCTGTTTCAATATTTCCGGAGGACTGAAAGCCGTTTCTGGAGAATCCAGATAAAGCGTACGATAACTAAGAACGATGATTTTAAGCACCAAAAATGAATAAGTGTCGTTATCCACTGGTGAATGTTGTTGCCAAGCTTCCGCTTGTCCATATCAAAAATAAAATAATTTTGTCATACCTATATATATTAACTATGGCCAACAGAAAGGTCAATGCCTACATTGGGATGGCAAGTAGACAACGAATTTGTCATAAAATAAAAGCCATGCCTAATTGAGGGGATTTATATATATTCTTGCTATATGCAAATATATTCTCTTCAATCACGTATGATTGACACAGGTTCTCAGGGCATTTCTGCTTAACATGTACTCATGCATTCCAGTTTAATTTTGAAAATCTTACTGCGATGTAGAGAGCAACATTAATGCCATTTTTGTTTCTTTTTAACCCATTAAGGCGCACGAAATATCGAGCCATCCAATTCGATTGAAATTTTGTACACATATGTATACATATGTATACATATGTACACATATGTATGCACATAAGTAAAATTTCTGTGATGTTTTTTTTTTTTTAGCTTATTGCACCGAACTTTATATAGAACAATGACCTCTTAGAGTGGCAAATCCAGTGGGAGCCACTTCTGTACATGGAATTTCTTGAAGCAACCATGCTTCAGGCACATAAGATCGCACTTCTCGCAGACCCACATCGACCTTTGGTGGCAAGATTGGCAACGCAATTGCTTTGGGAGCTTGTATGGAAAGTGTCCATCCTTGTCTAGCACAACATCTAAGGCAACCGGTGCTGGAGACCTTCGCACTCCCGTGTCCTGCACACCGAGACGCAGATAGTAGCGAGTAATAATCCTGGTGAATTCCAAAAGATCTAGCCTTGAGTCTCCTGTGATCTAGTGAATTCTCCATAGATTTACCACCGCTACGTTCAGCATTTGTGGAAACAGCACCCACCACCATTTTTTCCCCGGATACCGATCCTGTAGTTGTTCGAAGCTTGGTCTAAAAGGTCTGCACCTCCCATCCCACTGTTGTAGCTGCTGAACAACTTTGGTTGCGGCACACTCACTTTTCTTTGCTCTACAGCACACCACCGTTTTAAAGAGCATATTGCCTCAATGCTCTCGTAGTTCGTTGCCATGGTGACTTCACTGTTATCTTTTCATTTTACTAAAAGTACTTCAGCACCTGGGTCAAATCACGAACAGAATTGGCCTCTCTGCTTGCGTTCCATTTTCTTTCTGGAGGCGAGAGGACACTTCTTTTGGTGATTTTTACGGATTGTTCCAGTAGAAGGAAATCCCAGTTGCTGCAGCGGAACTAGCTGGTCGTGACTAGTGAACAAATTGTCGAAGAACACGACATGGTCTCTGGGAGTTGCGACGGCCTCAAGTAGTGAAAGTACAACACGTGTTCCTAGTGGCCTGGCGTCTGTGGTAGAGGACTTTCGGCAGTAAGTGTCAAATTCGTGGCAGTTAGCTTCCGCGCTGCACAGCATCCAGTTCTTGTATCCAAAACGAATTGGCTTTCCTCTAATGAACTGGTTGGAAGGATTGGGACCCAATTACTTCACCATAGACTCATCAGTAGAGAGTGTCTTGTGAAAAATGCCATGTTGCCTGAATCTTTTGTTTAGAAAATTCATCAATGACGCACCTTATACATTTTATCTGTTGTCCCCGAAAGCAGGTCATTGCCGGCTAAATGCAAGAACCGCTTTATGTCGAGGAACAGCTGCCTGCTCATGCATTTGGAGACGCAAACAATGCCACCGTCTTCATAAATGACCAGGGGGGCTAAGCTCGCCTCCGGCGGGAATCTCTCCGATGCCACGTCACGAGGGAGGGGAGGGGAAACCCCGCCCCGGCGAGTTTCCCACTCCCCCTCTTACATTTCCGACCCCCCCGGCGGCGGCGAGTTCCCCAGCGTAGCTCCGATTTTTCCCTACGCTCCGCAATGAAGGGTTTTTTGTTTTATTTAAATCGGGGGATCGGTGGCCGGCTGGGCTAGCGCAGACCAGCTCGGAGCACGTCGAGCGAAAGGTCCGTTGCAGAACCCAGGATGCTGGGTTCAATCCCCACCCCTGCCCGTTTCGATGTTGATGAGCATCGTACCGGCATGCAGTCGTGTAACACTACTGCGGGATGGACGTTAAAGACCCCAGGCTAGCGGTCATACTGCACTGGCTAAATTGCTTATCTACAGTAGGTGACAATGTCGCAATGTTCTGGCATGTTCTCCTCCTGTATAAACAACTAACGGCCAATTTGTTTGTCAAAATACGGTGTGGAAGAAGAAAGATGAGAAAGAAATTACACAGTTGTTAGTCTGCGCCATTCATGTATATTGCTTTTCTTCTATCATCTGTTTTAGTTTGAATTTTATCAAGTGCGTTTATCTTGCATCTACGCAGCACAGCAACACATAAACATAATTGCAAAAGCCTGTAGGTAATGGTAAATTGCGTTCCTGGTTGCAGATTGCCGTGAAAACATATTTGTTTCTAGGATTCACTTTGTAGAATTTGGATGTAGGATTCACGACGGGGCGACGGTTGATTCACGGCTCCATCGCCTCAAGCCCGGTTCGCCACGCAGTTCATCGCACAGCCACCTTACCACGTCTTTCGAGAGGCGATAGTGTTGTTGAAAATGAACGTCGTCCATGTGAAACACATTGGCGTGGTTTAAATACCTATGCCGACGGCAAAACACGAACGAAAACGCTGCCGTTTTGGACGCTTCTCCCTGATCTCGCGCCCAACTCGCCCAAACTCGCCTAGGTCGGAGCCGGCCAGCTTTTCCCATCCGCGGCGGCTTCTTCCACGTCAGAATGACGTCACTGCATCTCGCCGCGAGTTCCGAATATGCAACTCTCCGACCGCCTCAAACCCTTCGTTTAACGTCACTATCTAGGGAGTGTCGGCGCGTGTCGTCATGCACGGCGCCGACCAATCGCGGCGGTCGGCGAGTTTGGCGGAGAACTCGCCTCGATCTCGCCGCGCCGAGCTGGGAAGCTTGTGATATTCACTCAACAAGAGAATATCGATTAATTTTCACAAAATCATCCAGGCTAAGAGCACAGCCGTGCCCATTTTTGGCTTGGCGTACGTACCAGTTTTTATGACGATGTAATCAATACTTCTTCATCCAGAATTGTGCTAAATATTTCGTTTGGAGACGTGTCTAAGAAGTCAGACTTCAGCTTTTCTCCTTGCTGTTCAGCCGCATTTGTTGTAGATGCCCCCGTGTTCTCCGATATGCTTCTCTCCCAGCTTGGATTTGTGAGCGCAAGCATTCGTAAAATTTGAGTCTCTTACTTGAGACATCATTCACTTGAACGCTGCTGGCGGCATCACCACCTCCCTTTTCTTCGTCTCTGTCAGTTGACGGGTCAAAAGGTATAATGACGACATCGAAGTCTTCGTCGGCGTCCTGGACAACGTCTAGACCACGCTGGAAGAAACGCATTTAGGTGATGACACTGGTCGCCCTTCCGTCGGGGAGCGAGCGACCAGCCCGTGTTCGGAGCTAGTCTCGAACCAGAAGTAGTTAGCTCCGCACCGCCTCAGAGGGCGCTGCGGTATGAGGTCTCTCCTCGGCGGCCACAGTGTCGGCGGCGTAGCGTGCTCGCCTTTTTCGCGGTGTAGTGGTGTGGTGATGGTGTGCGGCCAGTAGCTGGCCTCGTCTTTTTCTTTAGTGCTGTGTCGATCAGAGGTGCCACCATCGTGCACGAAGGTAAGCCTTAACCCGAAGAACATGAAGAAGAAGAAGAAGAAGAAGGAAGATAACACAGATTTACGGACTCTGGCCACTTGGTGCCGGCGTGGCGGCGGTGAGTTACAACAAGAGGCGGTGAGCAAGGGAATGTGGGACCACCGCTCAGAGAAACGACCGAGGGACCCTATACTTGGGCGCCATCTATCCCCGTGGGAGTGAAGCATGCTCGGTGCGCCGAATATAATTTGGCCGCCGCGTGAGACAGAGAGTCATCACCTTAATGTGTTTCTTCCACCGTGGGTACAACAAGAAGCGGTGAGTGAGGGAATGCGGGACCACAGCTGGGGAGAAACAACCAGAGCGGTCGGTTTGGGAGGAACCCCATACTTGGGCGCCACCTATCCCCGTGCTAGTGAAGCGCTCGGTGCGCCGGACATAAATTCCCATTGGCCTAAATTCCCATTGGCCAAAAGCACAGCAAAGCAGATGCATCGTCACAGAAGCCGTGGAGTCGGCGGGGTTCTCCGTGTCTGCGCAGTGGGGGAGTGTGATGTCCCCGCCGGAGAGCTTCGTGAAAAAAGAAGACGTGGCGTGCTGCATGTAGGAATGCGAAAGCATTCCTACACGTGAGCAGTTTTAAATGTCCTTGCCGATTTTATTTATTTTTGTTGTTGTTGTGGGCTTGCTATCGCGTGCAAAAATAAAGTGCAGGATGAAAGTGTACAAAACCAAAGTGCAGGACGGGGTGAAGAGCAGCATTTGCTAATGTTGCTCTTGGTATGTGATCACGCAAACACTTTCACTTTTTTTTTTACACTTTGCATTGAGTTAGTCGCAACAGAGCACTGAGCAAGTGTCGCAAGTATGTCACTGAGTCAGCTCGGCGGCGCCTGCGTTCTGCGGATGTGCGGCTGTAGCTTGGAGAGAGGAGGGAAGGGAGAGACTCCCGCCGAATCTTCGTCAGCTTCCTGTTTTTTTTTATAATTTATATCACTTCCCAAAACGCACGTGCTGGCCTTTTTAAACATTCTGTTGGGATTGCGTTGAATGAGACTTGCACTCCTTTCATTCCAAGGAAGCGAGCAGAGTTGTTTTTTCTGCGTGATTCGACATGCCGCTAATTTTCCTGCTTTATTTTTTTTATTTCTATATATGGTCATGGTTCGTATAATAGTTATATTTTTTCGCTTCTAAAATAAAACGGCACTTGTAACCTTCCTCAAGCGTAGTTGCAAGGAAGAAAAATTACCAGATTTCAATAAATGCTGGCACTGACGAAGGCATTAAATAGAGCGGTTTTTTCTCTTTTTAAGTTCTTTAACCAGCAACATTATGTGAGGCAACTATCCGATTCTCTTTTTCTCTTTGGGTACGCAATGTACGTAAATAAGAACTAAATCTCCAGAATCCGTTGAGCTTGAATGTTGTTTTTCTTTTAAAAACCCAAGATTACATCTAAATCGTTACTTTAATTAATATATATTTATCCTATATTTTCTATTAGAAAATGAATAAAGCTGACCTCTTGCTGAATTCCAGCCCTGAGCTTGCACGAATGAAAAAGGCTTTATGAATTTTTAAAACTTCTACCAGCTAAATCTTTTATTGTTTTTTTTTAGTTGCGCCGTCATTCTCGAACATTGTGCAAACTTTGCTAAAGAACGCCGCAGCACACAACGAGAGATAGGCGCTGCTCCGTGACGCGAAAAGTCCTGGCGCAGCTGCGATTGAACATCAGAGTCAGTCGACAAACGCGTGATAAAACGAGAGACGCGCAGGTCAAACGCCACACGCCACACCGCCCGCAGGTGCTCCTAGCGAAGCGGAGGATCAGCCAAGTCTGCCTGCCACGCCGTTACCGATATGCTGCACATAATCGGAAGTCTCAAGAGCTTGCTCTCCATCCGCAAAATCAACATCGACTGCTTCGTCTTTCGCTTACACCATCGTCTCACCGTTCTGATCTTAATCGCCTTCGCCGTCCTCATCACCACGAAACAGTACGTCGGGGACCCCATCGAATGCGACAGATCTTTCGGTGTGTCCGCGAGCGTTCTCAACCTGTACTGCTGGATCCACGCTACGTACAGCGTGACCAGTCTCTTCCGAAATGCAGACGACAAGAGTATCGTCTACCCGGGCGTCGGAAACAGCATGCACCACATGAACCACGAAGACTTCCAGTATCACAAGTACTATCAGTGGGTCGGTCTTCTGCTCTTCCTCCAGGCGCTGTTTTTCTACGTTCCGCGTTGGCTGTGGAAGGCCTTGGAAGGCGGACACCTAAAGGTCCTCGTTCGGAACCTCGAGTTCGACATCGTGGACTCAGAAACGAAGCGCGAGAAGAAGGAGTTGCTCGTCGAATATCTGATAAGCCACCTCCGTCAACAGGACACTTACGCGTGGAAGTACTTCGTCTGCGAGGCTTTGGCTCTCTTGAACGTCGTCGGACAGCTCTTTCTCATCGATCGGTTTCTCGGAGGAGAGTTCATGACCTATGGTCTCGAAGTCATCCGCTTCGTGAGTCAAGACCCGGATGACGAAAGACTGGACCCCATGATTCGTGTCTTCCCCAGGGTCGCCAAGTGCCAGTTTCACAAGTTCGGACCGTCAGGTAACGTCGAGATCCATGACGCCGTTTGCGTCCTACCTCTCAACATCGTCAACGAGAAGATTTACGTGTTTCTCTGGTTCTGGTTTGTCATCTTGGCCGCCGCGACGGCAGGCGTTGTCCTCTACCGCTGTGTCCTCTTGTTTAGTGGTTCGCTGAGGGCCAGGACTTTGTATTACCGATTCTATGTGGTGCCCAAGAATGACGTGGACGAAATTGCGGCTAAGAGCTCGTTAGGCGATTGGTTTCTGCTCTATATGTTGGGGCAAAACATCGAAGCCAAGACCTTCCAGGGTGTTATGTCCGATGTGGCCGGGCACCTGAGGAAGAGGATAGAACCAGGACCTGATGAAGAACGTGGGCACGAGAACCCAAGGAAAGGGCTTTTGTCAGCGGAGCATGTTTAAAAGTTATCCAAGCTATAGTCACTGGCAGGATAAGAACGGCAGGGCGTTTTTTTTTTTTTTCTGAGGCTTGATTTTTAGCACGTGCTTGCTGTCTTTGGTTGTGTTATGGATGCGCGTGCACGTTCGAAGCTCACGAGACGTCCAAGCATTGTTGAAGGTAGGAAGCTAGTACTGGAGGCAGGACAAGTTATAGCCTTCCTTGCTGTCCTTATCCTCTCGGGGACTTTAATCGAACAGTGAGGTCTCGGCCTTGGTTGTCGAATACCTTGACAATTAGGGTAATGCCTAAGTTATTTTGATCTCAAATACGTATTGCAGAGCAAATTTAAAAACAAACGAACAACACAATGAATAATATGTTCGTTGCTTCAGACTTTTATGTTTATGTTTCTAGTCAACTTCTTCTAGTCTGACGTGTTATAAACAAACATTTTCAAAGTTTTGATATTTGCTGAATCATACGAATAACTCTATTCTCAATCTTATCTTGAGGTTTAGAGGTAATAAGAAAGCTCACAGTATCTTACACATGAGAACCTGCAGAGAGCTTGCAGTAATGTTGAGCATGATTATGACTTGGTTGACCTTCCATTCCTTATCAAAACAAACGGTAACTACATTCGTTTTCACCTGAAGAAAAAATAAAGTTTGCACGTTGTTTATACGGCGTGCAAAGTAGTTCTTACAATATTTGGTTGTCAGAGAAAGAAGCGATCCTTTTAGTACGATTACAATAATCTAATCTAAAATTCTTCTATATTAGTGAAACTCTGCGAGGAGCCGGACGTTTTCTACTAAGGTTCTTGGGCTGAAAACGAGTATAGAGCTACAAATTGGAATCGTGATCGCGCACGTTCTTTTTTTTTTTTTTAATTGTTCAAAATAAAACTTTCTAATCGGTTTAACGTGTTTGCACTTGGCGGGTGAAAACAACTTTCGATGAAAACTTTTCTAAGGGGTGAGATTTAAGGAACAAGTTGTATTCCAGATTATTTAGGGCAACTTAATTTTGATCAGCTTATTTAAGTACCAAAATACGTGGCTATCAAAAATGTTTTATGAATGGGAAGATGGTTGCTTGGCCTCTGTATTATGATGCATTTAACTTATGTGTGCCTTTATCATTCCGATGCTTCGTTCGTTTACTCGTTAATATCTGTTCATTTTTGGTGACTGCGATGTTTGGTGCTGACATGTATACAAGAATGTGTTCTCTTTAATAAATAATCCTGCCTGCTTTACCAACTACTGCTCAGTGCTTAAAATTTCTTTTAGCCAACTACATCTTCCTAACCCAGCTTTGCCAACAGTAAACATTGTGCAATGGAAGTAGTATACCGGTTTATTATTTTATTTCTTTAATTGGCCTCTACACAGCACATAGTTGCTGCGTACGAGGTACCTATACCTCCTCCACCGGGTGCGTGCCGTGTTCTTCGATTGGCGAGTGCAGCCTAACCTAAAACGCATACCGGGACCAAAATGCATTGCCCCGCCCCTTTCTGCACTGAGCTTCACGTTTTCTGAAGCGGTGTAAGCCGGTGCCGATGAATTGAGCGATCCTAGTGTCGAACAGTATCCTGTTTTGCTCGGAAACTTACAACTCATATACAACTCTAACGACGATTTCATACAATTTTACGAGATCACGTTTAATTCAAGAATGACATGATTGGTATGACGATAATTCATCTGTTTGAAGTTACTTATATTCTCTTTTTTCTCTTCTTTTCTTAGGCACAGTTTCTAATATTTGTCTCTATGTTTTAACAATATTTCATCCGTGTAGAAGCTAGTTCTAAAGCCGGATATGAATCCTTCGGTAGTTGCAACGATGAAGATGTGGCGAACTTCCGTCAAACCTCGAGATTCGTCTGTTTCGACGAGCCTTTGAATTTTGAACAAAATTCGACGAGATTCGACTTACGGACAAAAATAGTTCCAATGTTTGTGCAATATAAAAGCATACACACGTACTTTTATCGCTCTAGTCATCAAACGTAGTCGAAACATTAAAAGTGCATACGTAGTTTTGACGTTTCAGTTAGTTAAACGATAAAACAACGTACAAAGCAAATATTGCTCTATTTCTCCACCAAACAACGTAAAATCGTTTTTTTTTTCGTTTTTTTTTGTTTTTTTTTTTTTTTTTGCACATTCGTACGAAATTTTAGCTATAATCGAACCTGAATGTTTAAATTTGAAAGAAAATTTTCATAAAAATCTTTTGTCCACTTCGTTATTATAATACTGAGTGCGTGGCGTAAACTCATCGCCTTCACAACATTACTCTTCAAGTAGAAAAAGGAGAAGCACGTTGCGATATTTACTCGTTCAATATTTAAATAAATATTTAACCTACAACTACTGTATTCTTCAAAATATAGTCCATCTTATTACGAACTTTATGTTGGAAGTTCGAAAACGTCGAACCTGTCGAAACTCGAGCCTCGGCAGAATTCGCGACATCCGACACTTTTAACTGCAGAAAATAATGGCACAACAAACAGAAACGTGGCCTTTTGCGTGTCTATATTGAATAGGTCTCTTCTCTTGAGTGACGCCGACAAAAATTGAATCAATTGTTATTATTTTTGGACGTCGCGTAGAGACATATTCGTGTCAGGAGCAAAATTTCTGCGTTGACCCCAACATCTTAGTCTAGACTCGTAAGTTCAAGCTATAGCGGCGAAACTTCGAAATTCACTGTTTTGTAATGCCATGAAAAGGCTGCCGCAAAACATGGAAATTGCGTAAATGCCGAACGCTTTGTACGACTAGATATCGCATACACGAGAACATTTTTATCGTGCTTAAGAAATATCGCGAGTATTCGTATGTCAGTTTTTTTGTTTGTTTCTTTTTCTTTGAGTCTTTTTGACTGATTCTTCGGCAACGTAGTCACAAAAGGTTATAATTAGTTAGTTTGTAAATGTTGAATAAAGTAGAGAAGTGAAACACATCATAAATTGAAAAGTAGAAGAGACACGCATCCTGTTTTGTGTGTTCCAATCCTTTGTGACTTTGTTTCTGCTTTCTTTTTTCTTTTAACTTGACCATTGTTTTATGCAGCCTCAGGTGTAACAGTGGCGAAAGTATTATGGTGGCCAGGTGTCTCACAACACGTTTCAAGCGTTTGAAGAATAAATATCTTGTTTAATTCAGCAGTATATATAATATATCACAAAACGTTTTATTTTCTTTTTTTTTTTACAACGACTTCATAAACACATCTAGTGTTCAACTGTTGTTGTGTTGTCCATAAATACAAGTTTGACACGAATGACTGACTTGAATTGTCGGCGCCATGAGGCCATAGAATCGTTCATTGAGGAATGAAACAAAAAACGAACAGACACAAACTTTCATAACATGAATAACTTATGAGTCATGAAATGTAAAAGGAAATGACAACTTCCATAACACACGAGTATGTCAACTTCTGTAACAATAACTATCTAATAAGAACGGACAACTTTCGTGACACTAACATATGTCATAACACTGTAACAACTTTCATAATTATAAATACCATATGACAACTTTCATAACAATAACGCGTCATAACGACTGGCGCCTTTCGTAACAATAACGCGTCCTAACAACTGACAACTTTCGTAACATATGACAATTTTCACTACAATAGCCTACGTTATAACAAATAAAACATTTCGAAATACTAATATGTCATAATAACTTACAACTTTAATAAAATATGCAACGTTCATGAGAATCTATGACTTGAATAAAAAAAATGTTGTACACCTACATACACATAATGCCACTACATTCATTTTTGACTTACAGGCATGCAAATCTAAAGTATATAGTTTTCGTTTGAGGTGTGGGTTGTCACCGATCTACATAGGTTAATTCCTTGCGCGTAGACCTTGTGAATTCAAATACCCACCTACATACTCAAGTAACACGTCTTTGTGAAAAACAAAGAACCAGTTGTTTCTCGTCAGCGGTCCACACCAGATGCGAAAGTACCAGGACCTACCGTTTTCTGATTAAAATATATAAGAAAATTTCTGGAATTTCATTTAAGAATGGCGGCCAACTGAGCCCCGGAAAGCATTAAAATTGAATGGCATCTGCTACCTAGAACAGGACCTCCCCCCCCCCCCCCCTTTCCTCATTTTAATTTTCCGAAAATAGCTTATAACTTGTTTCTATTCAGATAACGATATGCTTTCTGAAACGTCTACATCTGGTGCCGACCACGGACGCTACATTTGGCAGTCTAAGCGTTCGTCGGCACGTAGTTCATTTCTGTGCAGAGCAAAGCGCAGTTATTCCTTCTCTGAAACACAGTTTTTGTTGAAAATATAGGAATCTGTCCTGCACCACCAGGCTGCAAAAGAGTATAAGACCTTTATTTTTTAGGGTTAATTGGTATTACGTTATTTCCTAGGAAAAGAGACCAAGAGTTTTGTGCTTAATAAAACGATAATGTTATTATTTTTTTTTATTGAACTCGGAAGGTATAATGTTAATGTAAGTGAAGGTTTATGGCACAGGAAAACGTGTGCAGGATGTGAAATAGTTGCATGACTCTTAACCCCCCCTCTGGCTAAACTTTTTTCTGTTTCGTTGTGTTTTTTTTTTGTGTGTGTTTTTTTTTGTTTTTGTTTTTGTGGGTACGAAATAAAATTTCATTTCTAACGACTGACTGAAATATGTGGAAATGGGGCGGAGTGTAGGACATTTTATGAAAACCCCCCTTTACCCCAAGATTGGATTCACTATAAAAGGGGATGGGGGGGGGGGGGGGGGGCGAATATAAGAACAGAAAAGCAACAATTGTATATTGTGTCCTATGACCCCTGCATCCTTTTCCGTTTGCCCTTTTGATCGTAGATCGTGTGCTAGCTTAAATTTATAAACCATATCCGCCGATTCCTTGTCCGTGGCACGGGGCATCTTTCACGCATCCGCCATTGAGGAATTAAACGTGGAAAGGTTTCTGAGGTCGCCTAAATTTGGCGATGACTGACTCTGCGGGCTCTAAGGATCTTATAAATTTATTAATCATAACTATGCGCGGCCAATTTCGCTATTAAAAAAGCAGGCAAAGATCGAAATTATCTCCGGCGATCGGAGGAACATTGTTCCGGCAGCCAGGACGGCATGTGACGAATGAAAACGCGACATTCCGTTGAGATTGAAAACGCTTTTATTACAAAATATGTATACTTTTGTAGATGACAGGAGCAAGTAAGAGTAGTTGAAATATATAATTTTTCGCGCAGAGGGAGCATTATACTGCAATAATCATCTAAAAAAACAATCTGTTTGTTTTTTTCCGCGGGAGTGATGTGTTCGGTCATAGCCTCCTTTATACTGACAAAGCCTGGCACACTGCCACGAGACACGGCCGCCGAAATTTAAAAGGTAGAGTGGCAGACAACGGATGAGAAAAGAACCACGTGACAGGCGCCCCGCTGCGGCGAGAGGCCGAAACACACTTCTCTCGAGCGATGAAATGTCCGCTCGTGCTCCTCGCGTTCCTCGCGCTACCACTTCTTTTCTGGTCGGGTTTGAAAACCATGTTTCCGGTCCTCGCCGCTGCAAAAGTGTTGCGCTGATGACCAGGTTCCCCGAGAAATGCTCTGTGCTACCAGATCCTCGCGCTCCAAATCTGCGACCGCGCACTCTACGGCTCCGTCGTCGAACTGCCAGGCTTTGCGAGTATAGAGGAGGCTTTGGTCCGGTTGTCAGGTCCCGAGCACTCGAGAAAGCGCTCGCATGGATTGAATCTTAGTCCGGGCTACGGTGGCTAGACACCCTATCCCGGCTGAATGAGCAACGAGCCGCGCGCATTCGAGATGCCTACTCCGCGGTTCCACCGGTCGGAGGCGCGAGGATCCTTCGTCTGCTATTGACTGACAGTGGTCCATGGTTTCGGAACATGCTCCTCCCATCGCCGGACATGAAATCGGCGTGTTGTAATCCTGGATTGCTTCTCTTAATAAAGAAATCGGCCGCGTGTCGTCATGTTTTAGGTATTTCTAGGGTGCTTAGAACCAGCAGAGCGAGTTATCGTCATATTTAGGTGGTTTCAGAACATTCCTCAGGGCACCTTTAATGTAGTCGCATATGCGTGCGCTGACAGTGGCGTAGCCAGGATTTTATTTCGGGAGGGGTTCAACGGCATCCCCCCCCCCTCTTTCGGAGGGTGCAGCTCGCCGACACGGACGCTCAGGCAAAGATTAGGGAGGCGCTGCATTGTCATTTTTCAAAACGGAGCAGGCTTCATTTACAGGAATACGGGCGGGGTGGTCCACCAACTTTAAAAGCTTCCTCACAACACACAACTCCCTCCGCTCTTCGAAGTAGCACTGCATTACGAACGCGTGAAGGCCAGACAAAGCACAAGAATAACTATACTTTCACAAAAAAAAAAAAATGAAACAGCAAACAAAATTTTTTTTGACACTGAAAAATTGGAGCAACCGACCACGCACAAACAAACACCAGGGGTC